ATATGGAATTTCCACTCTTTCATGTCTCTTCAACAATTCGCTTTGTGCAAGAGGCCCAAACGCTTATCGAAACTTATCGAAAGACCTTGATGGTATAACACATTCGTTTCAAGCCTTATACCTCAATATTTATCAATCTATTTCAACTCTTTTGTTTTCCTTTATACATTTCTAACTTCCTGGAAATTAACTCACGCTTTCCTTTTTTCTAAAAAGGGAGACAAGACTACGCTCTCCGAAAAGTGTCTAATCGCAGTCACTTCACTTATCTCTATAACACTGAATACCATCGTCACTAAACCACCCCTCGCCTTCCGTGAAACTAACAAACTGTCAGAAACCGCGCTGTTATCAACAATGAATACCTATTTCCCTAAAAGGCACACTTATGACTAATTTTTGGCTACACAAAGGCAGTTTCAAAAACCCATCACAAAGAATCCCACCACAAAAAAACGCTTGCCAAATATTACCCCTCCCCCAAGATTAATTTATCAGTTTCAGATGAAGTACAAAATCAATCCTGCTCTTGTGCCTCTTCATAACATTAACAGGCTGAGGAACGAAAATATCATCAACCTTTGTGCATTAAACACTCACCTTTGTGTATTAGACAGCAAATCTTTAAGCTGGTCAACCAATGGCTCTATCCAATAGTGTCTCAGAGATACTGTTTTTGAAAGTGTTATGTGAATGGCCTTATTGTCTATTTGTTCAAACTTTGAAAATGTTTTCCTTGCCCTATCAACCAACGATTTGATAAGGGCCTTTTGACTATTTGATAGCTTGGCTGTGGAGAAAAAATATTTAATATTAGATTAGGAATTGTCATAACTTTTCTTTTTTTCATTATAATTTCAGCAAATAGGATTAACATAAAAACTATCAACTTATATCACAATCATCATCACCAAATAAATTAAATATATCCTAAATCATCTGAAAATAATATTCACTTATATCATTTCACAATCTGCTTTTCGTTTTTACCTTGCATCTTTGGTATGAATTAGGACTTTTAGCAACTCTGCTTTTAGAGGAGAATCCTCCTTTTCTATCTACATGATTCACCTGTCATTCTTAGCCTAAAATTATTTAAAACTAGCTAGCTATCCTATAAATGAAACAAATTTATTCAAGGCAGGAGCTACAAAGGCAAACACCAAGATGTGAGGGGCTATGAAAAATGTCCTAAACCCCTAAATACTGGCTACATCATCATCAAACTCTCACTTTATCACTCAAATTAATGTTATCATTTTTAAAGCCAGCAGAAACAATAAATGACTAGGAAGAAGTTAATGGTTGGGCACATAGTAACCTGGTATGAAAACATATGATGCCCAGTTGCCTTCTTCGTGAGCAAATGATCTTATCCGTCCTTTGTGATCATCAGCTGATTCCTCACTGCTTGCGACATCTATCCAAACAAAGAAATTTGACAAACTACCTCCAATATGTCATCATTAAGGTCAAATGTATATCTTTTTTGCTTTTTATAATAGCTCAGTGAAATACAGACAAGGAATGGTCACAGAATCATACAATACACTAGCATAATTATGGCATAATTTTTTATATTGGCTTTGGTTCAATTAGCTTTTATATATCTTCACAAAACCTTTATCTTTGTTCTCAAGGGTAATTTTTGATTATTTTTTTCATAAATTCTTAAATGGCAATAATTCTTATCAAAAGAAGAACTAAGAAGGTGTCAGTATTACTAAAAATATATAGGCAATGTCAAATTTGGTTACATCTAGGTTCTTTTATATTTGTTTATTTATCTTCACTGTTGATGAAAAATCTACTGCATCAAGGATCTGTGCAATGTATGGGATTATTACATGATTCTATCAAAAGTTCTTGGAAGAGTTGAGACAATTTTGTTTCTCCTCTGAGAACTTGGGCTGATAAAAATAATCTATTTTCAAGATCAGTTGGCTTTAAAATAGAGGGCAAAATGTAAACTAACAATTGAAAATCCTCCTCTGCAATGAACCCCATGCATCAAATGAGCTGGTAATCTGTTTGGTAAACATATATCAAATTAAAAATATAGGAATCTTAGACAAGAAACTACCTTTGAACATTGAAAGAACATCATTTGGGATGGGAAGCAGCATTTTCCTCTTTTCCTTGTTGCTTTTCCTAAAATGAAGAACATAGATTATCCAAAATTATCACGAAGAGAGCCCACATATTTTCAGAAATTTTCTGATTACCCAGTCTAGTCTGCAGAATATGGCATATGCACGCAGGAGGTTTGTGTAGTCTTGTACCAAAACTGAAAAATTACATTTTCAAAAAGACACTTGGCAAGTCATTTGACGGATAACAGGAGGTTAGCACAGGGAAAACATAGCTGAGATGACATTGCACGCGTGAGGCCTCGTCGGAAATTGTCATATTCTGCAGGCTGTGCAGAAGAGACTTTACCATAACTGCCACAACAAGAATAAGCCCTTACTGGTCTTTTGCTGTGTAGGGACTTTATAACAATAATGATGGACTCTGGCAATAATGATGGTTTGGAAAGTGGAAGGGTCAAGGACAAATTTAGCAACCACAACAAAAGATTTTGGAAAATGTTCTATTGTTTTAGAAGAAAGTCGTCGGAGGCCCCTTCTGATAATAGGTACAGAAGGTTGACTAAACAATGAAGTCCTTGTTTATTGCTTAGGAACTGAATGACTGATGTTTTTAGCTTGGTGCGCAAGTTTTAAGTCCATCTTACTAATGCTATGACAAACCCGAAGATTGGTTTTAAATTTTCCGCCTACTTGAAATTTTCTTCCTCGCTGCCGCTGTCACGATCTTCATCACTACAACTAGAGGCTTGATGCGATTCAATCTTCCTTTTTCTGCTCTGAATTTTGCCTAGATCTTTTTCATTGCAATCATATATGTCGTCATCATCTGTTTCACTGTCAGAGTACTGAACAATTTTGCTTTTTGATGTCATGTGTGACAATTTATTTAAGGCAAGGGTCTGGTCCAAATATGATTATTTTTTCAAAAATTTTCGATTTCTGGTATTTCATCCTGTCTTGTAGCCTAACTTTTAATCTACTTGGGGCTGGGCAGATATCTTGCAAAATTTCACTCAAAAGTGGATTGAAATCAGTTTATAAGTTAGTACTCAGGCTGAAATATATTTGTTTTATGATAAATGTAGCCCAAAATTTCAATGTTTTCATTTCACGACATCTTCGGCCATGTTGATCATAGCAGAGTCACCAAGGTATCATCAGAAAGCTTGTTTTCTCGCAAATTGAACTGAATGGCAATCCAACACATTGGCCTTTGTTATTTTCTGTATTTAACTGATGATTATTGGCTAGTCAAACAATTGAGTTTGGTTGTCACGAGAAACCGTTTTCATTCGCGAGATTTCATTGGCTGATATGAATAGTGGCCATCTGTGATTGGACAATCAAGTCAGCTGATGGCCTCGCATGCTCGCATCAGCGTAAACAGTTATAAGATTCTTCGATTCGACTAAACTTTGCAAAAAATACTCGTGCTTCTGTTACATTTCCAAGATGGGTAGAGTAAAATTTAGAACACGAAACAAATTCCGAGGCCGTCATAAAAAAGTGACGAGAAGCAGTGAGAAAGAAAAGCAGCCAGAGACGTTTGAAGTACGAAGTTCGAAGTTGCAAAGTTCTAGTGCAAGAAAAATGGAGTTGCTAGACATTAGCGTTGAAAATGAAAGAAAACAACCTAAGGGAACTGTCGAATCAAGCGACTGTTTCATGATCTGTCAGAAAGAAGCGCTCAACAAACTTCTTTGTGCTGTTGCATGCTCCAAGTGTTTTGTTGCTGGACAGGTATCCTTGGAAGTTGTTGAGGGAAGTTCGTTGGGCCTATCAGTGCGAGCGATGTTGGTTTGCCAGTCCTGTCAAGAAACATTAATGGAAGACTATTTATGCCAGCGTGTTGGTGGATCAAGACAATCTGAAACTCCTTTCGAAGTCAATCTTCGAGGGGTTATGGCATTTAGATCGATAGGCTGTGGACATTCTGCATTGCGAGATTGGTGTGGATTAATGAATATGCCTTGTTCCATGTCTAAAGACAGCTATCAAGGTAGTCAAAATAAATTACACGAAGGTAGCAAGGTCACCTGTGAAGCTATCATGAAAAAGTCTGCCAAAGCAATCTTCCAAACTTATGGAGAGATGGGCGTGAAACCTGATATGCATGGAGTTTTGAACATTGGTGTTTCTTTTGATGGGACATGGCAGAAAAGGGGTCATTCTTCCCATAATGGTGCAGGTGCTGTGATAGACCTTTTAACAGGTCTGCCCATTGACTCTGAAACACTTAGTAACTTCTGTTACAAATGTACAGTCGGACCAAATAAAACAGATGCCAATTATGCTGAGTGGTTCGAAAAGCACAAGGAAAACTGTCAGAAGAATTATGATGGCTCTGCCAATTCGATGGAGATGGAATGTGCCAAAAGGATTTGGGGAAGGTCCATTAACAAATATTCCCTACGCTACATGACAATGCTGTCAGATGGAGATAGCAAAGCTCATAAAGAACTTGTTCGTAGCAAAGTATATGGAGATGAATATATTGTTGAAAAAGAAGAGTGTGTGAATCATGTTGCCAAACGAATGGGAACAGCTTTAAACAATATAGTGGCAGAGGCAAAGTCACAAGGGTCATCTGTATCAGGAAAAGGAAAGCTCACAAAGGAAAAAATTTTGAAGATTCAAAATTATTATGGAAAAGCAGTTAAATATAATGCTGGCAATATAGAGTTAATGAAAAAAAGGATTTTTGCAATATTGTTCCACTTGACATCTGATGATGATAATCCAAGACATATACATTGTCCCACTGGGGTAGACTCATGGTGTTTCTGGAATAGAGCAGAGGCCAAAGGAGAGGCACCTGAGAAACACAAGGAGCATACGACTTTGCCAGTTGAAATTGGTAAGCGCCTTGTACCAATATTCAACCGCCTTACTGACAACAATCTCTTAAAAAGATGCCAAAATAAAACGCAAAATCCAAACGAGTGCCTCCACAGCATAATTTGGAAAATTTGCCCCAAATCCACTTTTAGTGGTAAGAAAATGGTTGAGATTGGTGTCAACATGGCAATGTCTCAGTTTGCAATGGGGTCTACATCTCAAGAGACATTATGTCGCACACTTGGCCTGTTACCGGGTACACATTTTATGAAAAATGCAAACAAAAGAGACAAGGAAAGATTGATGAAGGCTGCAGTGGCAAAAACAGATGAGGAAAAACAGAAGAGAAAGAGGAAGAAATATTCGAAAACCAAAAATGAGCAAGAGAAGAGAAAAAGGGAAGGTGAAACTTACAAGGCCGGTAGTTTTGAGTAGGATGCTTATCCATCATATAACTTTTAGAAAAACACCAAAAATAAATTTTAACAGATAAGATTCAGTTTAAATAGCTTTTTGTTGCCTGTATTGTTGCAGAAAATAATTTAGCCCTTCTTTTTAAATGTTTTCTGTTTGAATAAATGCATTCTCTATGAGCAAAAACTTTGAACGGCTTTTTCTCATTTCCTAATATCGGCCCAAATTCAAATTTTAGTGAAAGTAATATTTTGTAACTATCAGTGGTATCCCATATGTCTATATATCATCTGAATCAGCAAGAACTAGTGAGTGCAACTTTGTATTTATAATTCAAGTATCTTGCTTCTATCAAGACATTTAAATGATTGAAGGTAATTAACACTTACGAAATAGATGTAATTTGCAAATATATCATAACTGAGAGAAATAAGAAACTGTTTATGGGAATCTGATACCAAAGTTGCATTTACTGATCATTAAGGATTAAGAAAATTAACCTAGCCTTGGTGTGCTTGTCTTGGGCTTAGATATTTCCTTACACTAAAAAGACCACCAAAAATCAGTTGTGTTCTGGTCACCATGGAAACGGCTATTTATAGAAAAAAATTAACTTCACCATTGAAATCAGAAGGTTTGATTTGATTATATGCCTGAAAATTATTCTCCCAGCATGCAAAACAGAATTTTTAGAATCTGGACCAGACCCTTGCCTTAAGGTTCATATCATCGCGCCATTTTCTTTGTTCAACAGCAACAACTTATGGAACTGGCAGCAACAACAACGGAAAGCAGAGAGCAAGAATGTGGAGGAGCATTTTGAACGACCAACTGACGGTTTGAGTTTCGCGCGAAAGCACAAATTTTGTCTGGCTTCTTTGTATGGACAAAATTGATGGCAATAAATGAGTTCGTGGTATAAGTTCACGTAAATATAAGAAATTAGAGGATGGAGAATATTATTCAAGAAAGGTGAGCTATTTTTTTTATGCCTGTAATATTCGACCAATCGTCTATAGAAACCGAGCCCAAGCTTTTAGTTAGGGATAGCAACATAGGCCTATCTAACCCAAATATCTAAACCAAATAATACTAGGAGAGCTGATGTGTAAACTTAAAAGCATAGATAAATGAGCCGATAACTTGAAATTAATAAGAAGTCATTAGAGGGTGTTAGGGCAGAAGCAAAAGTATAAAAGCAAATTTATTCTAAAGTTGTTTGCAATTCGATTTAGATTATGGATTAATTAGAAGATGGAAGATCATCATAATTAGAAACTCAATGAAATACTGGGAAAAAAGGCAAACGTCACAAATTTATTAAATCTTGATGAGACTTGTGATGTTGTTTGTATTCCTCAAATTTTCTCTGGATCTTTATTGATATTTCCTAGTATGATTCCCACAAATGATGTTGTACAAAAGATGACCTCGAGAACTTGTTCCTGCTCCTTAGATACTTTTTCAAGGATGCTATGGTGCAAAATTCTAGAAACAGCATAACCCTCTTTGTTGTGATTTGAGGAGAACAACTCAATTAAATTTTTGTTTTTTTTCCAAAACAAATTTTTAGTTGTTATCACACTGGGTCTATCTAAAATCCATTTGAAATTTAACATTTTATTATTATTTACCAGTTTATGCGGATCATGAAGGAGACCAAAGAGAAAGTTTATGTTGGCGAATGTTGTTTGAAACGCTCTAAAGCATTTAATAGTCATTTAATTGCACTGAATATAAGCAGTGCAAAACTCAGATTAGAATAGGCTAATATAAGAGCTGTATGCATCTGTTTTCCAGAGCAAGGTTGTTTCTTGAATGCAAATTGGAACATGGCCTGCTAAGGAAATTGAATATGAAAGTAAACAAAAAGCTACTGAATAGAGACACTTTATTATAAGATCTGTATAATAAGCTATGTCCTTGTCATTTATAAAAAGATGATTGTTCAAGTAGATTTTTCTGTTAATCTTTTTAGGAAAAAGGTCAAGTCAAGCAGAAGATCATCTGTAAGTATATATGCCTTGTAACTCAAAATATTCCATTCATATATATATGTTGAATATGGGCTTTTGATGTGTAGAACAGGTTCTATGCTGCTCCACTGAGGTTTATACTTAATATGATCGTCCTGCAATTGTCCATATGTTTATATGCTCCGACCAACACCCAAAAATCCAATGCAAGCCAAAACATACCCAGGCTCTTTGTGTAAAGCATATATGTTGAAATACCAGTTAATTGTTCAAAAGGTCTACTAAAAATTGTCACAGGACCATGTACACCTAGCATTAAAATTCATCAAAACTCCATCACAGTCCTTGCACACATTATAATAAAACAACCTAAAAAAGTATTTATAACCATGACCAAGAAGTCTTGGTTATTGTACCTAATCAATTGATAGACCATTCATTGATTTGTGCAGAAAAGTTTTTACCACTTTTCTGATACCTTTCTTTTAAGATTGAATCAATCTCTGTATTACTAGCTTTTATTTCCTTCCTTCTAAAGTTATTCTGAGCTGAATTTAATAGCAAAATTACTTTTTTGCAGATTCTGAAGAAATCTCCTTGTAGACTGCCATTAGAAGATCTAAATGTGAACAATGATGCTCTGGTAAAGCAACTTCTTATTGATTTAGCCTTAACCTACCGTAGCCCACCCATAACTGCTACAGCAAAAACAGTATTTACGACAATTGAAAATTGTTGGCAGCACTCCCAGAAAATGCCATGGCGATAGTCAGCAACATTCCTAAAGTTTTTAAAAATGTGTAACTGCCCAGACAATATTCCCAAGGCTAATGTTGCTCAAGTGCTAATTGCCCATAGCATTCCTAAAAATTGCATTTTCCATTGAGATGTTGTTACTGGTTAATTCAGCTGGGTTTGCACAGGGGCAGAGGCTATCATGAGTGATTGTTGGCATCAAACAAAAGGCCTACTATCTCCTTTCTTATACTTATTTGTGATGCTTCTCATTGCTTCTCAAGATTGAGTATGTATCTAAAAAGTCTGTTGAAGTATAATACTTTGTATAATCCTTAGCAATTTTGTCATTTAATCAACTACTTTTTTCTTTTTTAGGATTCCAGAACCATGTAAGTTTTTATATTTTTTAAAGTTTCCTGCATAAGCCAATTCTATCTATAAGCCGAGGCCATTGCCAAAGATATTTCTTGAATTTTAGCGACATCCCATGTATAAGCCGCCCCCAACTATTGCAGAAGGATGACCCTTAACTCCCTGTAAAAGATCAGCAAAATGATATATATTTTTTAAAAATCAAGTTTATATCACCACAAAAATGATGTCCAAATTCTTGCAACAATGTACTTTTAATTTAATGTCATTTTGACATGTAAAACTGCACCTGTACATGCTTTGATCATCAAAGCTTGATGGTGATAAAATTTTCTAATGTTGAAACTTGGCCTCAGAAAAATAATAAATTCGAGTTTTCAAACCAGAAGGAGCCCACCCTAAGAAGATTCAAGACCTTGTCCCTTTGACATCAAATAACCTGAATAGACATTTTGGCTTCTACACAGACAAATAGGGAAAATTTTCATGCAGCTTTTCATTAGAGCAAGCCAATGCTTTGCTTCCTACTGGTGATTTTTAAGGGATTTCAGACCCTCTTAAGAACTAGCTGAAGTTTAAGTAGTCTTCTTTCACAGATTGTTTATACTTTGTGCTCTAGTGACAAAATTTATAAAAGCCCTGTCATTGCACCTTTCTTCTTGAGACAGTGTCCAACTGGGGTTAATGTTGCCAGTTAAAGTGACTTGATTCACTTGAATTATCTTTTATCTTTAGTAAGCTTTTTATCCTAAATTGGCTAGTAATCAGCAATAGAAGAGACTGAAAAAATTTAACTTCTGGTGTTCTAGGGGAGGTAAGAAGGTCAGACGGTCAGTAGGAAGGAGAGTCAGTTTTGCAGAGAAACCACAAATCAAGTGAGTATTGTTAAGAACCATATCATTTCTTGATGATTAACAAACCTTGATTTGCAAATCATCAAATATTATCTCATTTTGCTCAGTTTACAAACCACTTCTCTAAATTTATCAGTTTGAATATGAAAATGGAGAATTGTAAACTCAGTATAAATGCTTGAAAACATGTTTTCAAAAACGCAAACCAATTAATCCAATCTAAATATCAAGTTAGTCCAGCTTTTCTCAGCTTAAATAAAGCAAAGCTTAAATGCAAAATTCCAGGTAAATTAATCATAGAAAGAAAATTTTTCAAATGCAAAACCAAATGTAATTTCAAATGCAGTTAAAATACAGTCAGTCATTGATACCACAGTCTTCTCTTGGGCACTGAATTCTATGTATTGGGTCTTCATTTTTTTATTTTTAATTTAAAGAAACACCATGTTTTATTCTTAATTCCACTGAAAAAGATTCCACCCCTAAAAAAGTCTAAATGCTACCCAGAATGGATAATGGTAAAACTTTGTTAAAATGAAACCCATTTCTCTCGTATAATTGTACTATATTTTGCCTTATTTTCACACCAAAATCATTTTATCATTGATAGGGAGTTTAACAAGCACCAGAACATTCACGAGCAACTCCAAAATATTGTCATAATGGTCTAAATGCGGCCCCGAATGGAAAATGGAAATACTATTGTTGTTAAAATAAGATGCCTTTCTCTCATATAATTGTACCATAATTTTCCTTATTTTCACACAGAAATCATTTTATCATTGACAGGGAGTTTAACAAGCACCAGAACATTCACGAGCAACTCCAAAATATTCCTGGTAAGTGTTTAAAGACAGGAATGAAGGTTTATTTTGATCACCACCTATGTGAATGGGATATTTGAAAATTCTTATCAAATTAACAGGTAGCTCTCTTGATTCATTTCTGCTTTGCAATTGCGATGTAATTTTGTTGAATTAAGATTTGATTGAGAATTTCAGAAAAGTTTGGAAAATTGTTTGGACTCTGGTCTGTTGTAATTTTTAATCAAAACTCCCCTTTAATCTGCTGGGACATTCAATGTTTGAATTTGCTTATTTCATTTTCCTCCGATGTTATAAGGAATTTCTCTATCTACATTCCAAATGAAAATCAATATTTTTTAACCATCAACAATATTTTCTTCTTCCTTACTCCTTATCATACATTGAAATCATTTTTTATTTTCTTTTCACAGATGGGAGAGAACATGGAATGTCCCTTGGGTAAGTTTACAGGCCCTTTTTAACATTCTAACTGGGGGGGGGGGGCATTCAGTCTTCAGCCCTGGTGACTTTAAATTGTTTATAACAATAGGCCATTTTCCTATTGTTATAGTCAAAAACCAAAAGCTATGTTTAGGCATCAAGCCTTATTATTCTACAGTAGAATCCCGTTATAACGTACTCGGTTATTACGTACTTTCGGGTATAACGTACTGGTGTGCTTGGTCCCGGCAAAAGTGTGCTTGGTTTTAATCAATTTTTACTTACCCTCGTTACAACGTACTTCGGATATGACGTACTTAATACGCCGGTCCCTTAAAATACGTTATAACCGGATCATACTATACTGTGGTATCCATTTTCTTGCAATCTGCTTCTCGTTTATGTGCATTGCTTTGATTGTGATGCCGCAGACATATTGGTACTCATTCTCTATTTTTTGATGGAAATGCTGATCGTCATGTAATCGTGTTTTGCTTATGTTTCATCTGCCGGATTATTGATAAACCATTGGTCCGTGCACGCGTACTGGCTGCTAGCGACTTCTAGTTGTAATGAACTGGGCCTGACCTATTTAGCTAAAGCAATTAAAAGAATTATTTAAGTAATTCTCAATCGTGACTAGCGATTCGAAAATGGCATCAAAGAATATGTTATGTGTGAATATCGTAAGACTCTAGTGTAAACAATGAGAGCGAATTCCCAGCATGGATAACGACCAAAGTTACCTTTGACCAATGGCGGTCGAAGAGACAGGTATAGAGACAGTAGAATCTTTGTGATGTTTAGCAATGTACAGGCTATAATGATGGAAGTCATAAAATTTGCTCGCACGATTTCGGGTTTTTCCCCCTAGTACCCACACGCGACTGACTTTTTTTATTGGACTGTAAGTAATTGCTAGAATGCATTTTTACAAGATCTCGCAAAAAGGAAGGATAAAATCTCCTATCTTATTTTTGCTTTGCGTTTTAGCATTCATCGCTTCAAATTTTATTTTGCATCGATACTCATTCGACATAAGATTGTTGGATTTCTGGCCCCTTATGTTAGAATTAGTTCCAAGTTTCGAATCAACTTTTTCATCAGATATTTCGAATTAACTTATTATTTAAGATATTGGTTTACAGTTTTGAATTAACTTTTTAAAAAATTGCGAATATTCGAGACTTAGTGTTCCATACTGCAACTCATTAAACAAGAAAGAAAATGGTTTCCTGTTGCATTTTCAAGGATTTTTAAATCTATAGTTTCTGATAGATTTGAACCCTTGGCAAACCATAACAAAGGCTAGCCAAAACCTACCTGCTTTTCTTACCCAGTACCCGTTTTCGCCAATAACAATTTGTCAACAATCCTTTCTATTTTCACACAGGTCTGAAGGCGCTGAGAATTCCAAAGGTAGTCTTAGACTTGGCTTGCCGCCTAGTCCTTCTTTCATTACATTGCAATAAATGTTTTATTGTGTATTTGTTTTCCGTGAAGTAAAGTCTCTTTTACAGTAAATGATAAAACTTGAGTCATTTTAGCGTCTTGCAACCCTACCTCAATTTGCAATTTAAGCCTATATACCTATGTCAATGTATAACTATTATTGTTGCGGTGTGTTACTGTGCGAATAAACTAGGTTATTCTTCATAATATTTTCACTATCATTTGATTTTTAGACTTTCTTTATAATGGACTATTGGTTTACATTGAAACATTCACATTTCAAAAGATGTTTTTGAACTTCAATTTTTTATCAAAATTCTTCAATTTATATTTTATTTAGCTTAAAGTTTTGTGTAAGTTTGTAGAACCGTCAATGAGTTTTTATTTGGAACACTTTCTTTCAGATTTTAACATTTTCAACATGCTGGCGAAGAAACCAAATGGTCAAGGCACCAGTCAGGTATTCTTAATGTTTGTTTGTTCAGTAATCAATTCATAAATTAATTCTCTGAAATAAATTGACCATTCAGTTAAATAGCTATTATGTTGTTTGTTGCTCATACGGTTCAAAAGTCTTCCTGCAATGGTGCAAATATAGGAAAATAAATGTTTCTCAAGCGATGGTGTCGCCTTTGACCTAACATGAGGCAAGATAAAGTAAATTTGCACTTTGCCAAAACACAATGATTAAAGAGTAACGAGACTTAGTTTAGAGCATACCGATCTCTTATGGAATTCATGTCAAATTCGTCCTGTTTGGCTGTAGGTGATGCAGGAACATTGTGTCTGTCGCCTATTCCTGTCTCGTGTAAGCCTGTGATTCGGTTGCTTCTTAGTCTTTCGAAAAAAGCTTGCTCATATCCTGCTGTGACGAAGCTCTTTATCTCTGGGCGTAGAATATTGAGATATATCATCCCTAACATATCCTATTACTTGGTAATATATATGTATTTTTTGAATATCTGCTTTTCATTTTATAATTTTCCTTTTTAGCCAAATGTCCTTAGCGAACTTGGATTTGGTTCAATAGCCAGTGACGTACGACGGGCCTCGGATCAAAATTCGTTGAACCGAGGTCGCAAACGCAAATCCTTTGATATCAACGACTTTGTTGAGCACGACGACGATGATACGGTTGGCGTGATACTTAGCGACCAAACAGAAGTCTATCAGGATTGTGACATGTCCTTTACTGAATGCGTTGGTGGTGATGCCAATCGTGCAAATGCAGACGAAGGTCATCAAAGTTGTATTATGAACGAAACAAAGATCTTTGATGATTTAAGCATGGATTTGACGTGTCAAACATTTTTTGAAAGTGGGGATCGTACTTCTGTTAAAGAGAATACTGCACACGTGCTGGAATCGCTTAAAGATTCTACGTACAGAGCATCAATTGGATTTTCACAGTCTGGTCTTGGTTCTTATTCCCAGGAACGACTAGATAGTTTGAAAGCACTTGCAGAAAAGAGCTTTGGCAGGAGCGAAAAATGGTATAGGGGGATGCTTGGTACAGCAGAAATGATAATGAAGGGAGCGAGCAGCCCCGGCCATTTGGCAGAATACTCGAATCCCAATAGACAGTCTGCATTTACCCCAGTCAACAATCATTCTACATTAGATAGGAGGCAGGATGACGATGTTGAGAATGATTACCATGATGACTTTGCAAAGCAGTCAGAGCTAAAACGTGGAGCTGGGCGTAAGCATTTATTTGCAGACACGATTATTCCTTTTCTCAAAAGTCAAAACAAAACAAACTCTTCGCCATCTCATGTGCTTCCTGAAATATCGGACAACTCTTTGCCATCTCATGTGCTTCCTGGAATATCGGACAACTCTTTGCCATCTCATGTGCTTCCTGGAATATCGGACAAATCTTTGCCATCTCATGTGCTTCCTGGAATATCGGACAAATCTTTGCCATCTCATGTCCCTCCTGGACTCTCGGATGTCTGCAACGACGATAGACCCGATTCCCAAGCCACAGGGAGATTTCGCCAGGCAAGCCGTGAACACCTGTTTGCAAATTCGATCATCTCTTTCCTTAGAGATCAAGATAAGTCTATGACAAGGCCAGACGCTTTCAGCGATACGGAAACAGATCTGCCTGTTCTCAACCAAGAGCTTGTCAATAAAAGCAGTCAAATACAAGAGTGTGCTGATCAACTTGCTCATTCAACGACAATTGATGCTTACCATACTTCTGATAGACAAGTAACTGATAGGGCAGCATCCTATAATGAGGACGAACTTGTTGTGGACAATGAAAATTCAGGAAATGATTTGACTTTGCGAGAAGAAGATGTCCCTGTTGAAAATACGCCGACAGAGATTTCAGTCGATTACAAGAAAGAGGCAATTCCTAATGAAGGTGAGACCGAGGAATCCTCAGAAAGCTACCAAAATGAGGCCAACTCGTTTGAAGATGAGGCGGAGGTAGTTGCAGCTGATGGTGAGGAAGATTGGCTAGAAGAAAATTGGTTGCTGTCAGAAGTATCAGGTTAGTTTTTTAAAAAAAGTTCTGATAAGTATGTATGTATAAGTGATAAGCTATCGTCTAAACATTTTGTAGAATTAGCTTTTGAATAGATATATATATATACATAAAGTAAGGATAATTACTGTTAACCGATCTGTGATCAAATGTTTGACGCCGTATTGGCAGAGCTTGACACCTTATTTGATGTATAAAACAGGACGGTTCTAAGCTGCTACTCTGAGTTTCATGCTTAATGCGAACATCAGGCAACTGTTCTCCAAGAATGAATGAAGCGAAAAGCATCACCCTTTTCACAGTTGCCTGGTAAACGCATTAAGCGTAAAACACAGAGTAGCAGCTTAGAACCGTCCTATTCTATACAGCAAATAGCATACATATATATATAAAGTATAAAGATTTATGTAGATATTGCCCGAAAAGCAGTTGATGCTGTTATAGTTGCCTTCGAATGGTATGCGCTTGATACAATTTCCAGCTTTTTTAGGTTTTCCTTCTGAACTAAATATGTTTTCAAATCTTCAAATGGCCGCTAGCGTTGATTTTACAAACAACTGTTTTTGCTGCTGATGTTTAAAGTCAAATTTTATCCTTATTTTTAGACAAAAAGCAGGAAGGAGAAACCGATAATCTTCCCGAAAATTTCAACGACGTCACTGGAAATGAGAAAACTTTGCCGACGTTACTGAGTTTAGTAAGTATTATAAGTAATCCAGGTTTGAAACAGGCATACAAAAACATGCAAGTGCTCTTAATACTGGCTATAATACTACAGGAACCAGATTTTGTATGAAAAGATCATTGTGTAAGTAATAAAAAAAGACAAAATTGATTGTGATAGTTCAGTCACGGAAGAGACAAATGCAAAGTTTTCTACTTATATTCTCTGATTGGTTAAAACAGAGCCAATCGGAATTATATTTTTATAATCATGTTTTCTGATTGGTTACGTTGTTAAGTCCTTGATGACAATCATTTGCTTTTCTTGCCTCTTCAGGAGAACGATCCTGCCTACAAGGAAAGAATTGACTCAATAAAAAGGCAGAAAGTTGAGATGGAAGTAAAACTGGCAGAGTTAAACAGAGGTTTGTCTAGTGATATGTTGATTTTATCAGTTCAGGTAGTTGAGGCAACATATCAAATGGCAAGAGGCTTTTTAATGGCCTTGCAATCAAACAAAGAACTGCTTTTTCATCTACCTTTTTGCAACAGCTTTTGACTCATTTTCAGCACAGAATTGTTGAACCGTAAATCCACGAACCGGGTCCTAAAGTCGTTACGTATGTCTTATCTTGACAAAAACTATTTTTTATATGCAACCGCAGGAGGCTTTTTGCGTAAAGAGACTTTCACTCCGGCGATGGCAAAAATTTAGAGATTTCGTTTTATCATTTCAGCTTTAGAAAAGAATCGTGAAGACTTTATTGTCTCAGAAGAGATGACAAGAGATCTTCAAAGTGAATTCAAGGTATTTTAATAGATTTTCTGAAATCACCCTAGATCTGTGTGTTTTTGAAGGGCAATCTTAAGTGGCTGAGGTAATCTTTCAATCAACTATTGGCCGATTAATGAGCATGTGAGTGATTCTCGCTTATTGATTGGCCAATTTTGTATTAACAGATTGCTTCAGCCACTTCAGTATCTTTTGACTGCCTTTAATTTACTCATTTGCATCTATTTGGGACCAAAAGCATATCGTGTTTATGATTCGAAAATTAATGGCATTTCTAAACTGATGTTGTGAGTGTCCTTTGAAAACGTGAGAGAGAAAATGAAGGCTTTTGTTAAAGCGTTTTTTGTACACAATAGAATGTGAAAAGATCGACAGCATCGATGCTCTATTTTATCTGTTTGTATCCAGAATTAATTTCATTTTTTTCTCGTTTTTATTGTTATTTTTTTTAAAAAATAATTTCATATTGAAAAGTAAATTTGCTTTTTGAATTGTAGATAGATTCCAAAAGTGCAATTACGAAGAGTGTGTCTCACAACTAAAAATATTTTGATAGACAAGATTTTCCCGTCCGTGATGTTTTTAATGATCACTTTTTCCAGGAAATAGAAGAGGAAGCTGCTAAGCTTGATCAAAATGAAGCTGAAATCAAACAAAAAGATACAGGTACAATACGCGGAGTTTTATCAAGGTCGTTTGATCCATGAATTTTAGCATTTTTTTATATATATATATATTTAACTGTCAATCAGTTGCTTGATCGTCGCATTCAGGGGTGGACACTTGCTCAAAAATTGGAAGGGGGCAAGCCTATTGTTTTAGTGAGATGATACCACATTTCCTATTGTTTTAGAACAATAGGTCATTGTCCTTCAAAGTATCGGGGGTGATTGCCCCCCTCGCCCCTCCCCCAGGTATCCGCCCAGGTACTCGCCCCTCCCCCAGGTACCCAGGTGGTCGCATTAGGTGTGAAACTGGGAGTTGCGACTTAAAACCAACCTGCTCGATACAGCAAAGCTTATAAGTTTATCAGGTTTCATTTCAGATGATCAATCTTTTCAATGTAAATAATCTGTTTGATGCCTTAGATTTTTGTCTCTTCATCGTAGAACTTGAAGAACTCAAATCGAAAAGGAAAAATTTAATGAGGTAAGTGCATCAAAAAGGGGTAGTTTGATTTTAATGGTTTACAATCAACTTAAACTTTTTCAACTTTGAAAAAGGATTTTTTTGCATAGTGTATCATTGACCATGATTTTATCTAAAAGTAGAACCATCATCGAGAAGGAAGAGCGTGACAAACCTTCAAAGCTAAACGCAAAACAGAGACATCTTTTTTCATTATTTCGATATAAGTCTCTTATCCAATTTCTGAATAATCAGTAATCAAGGATCCACATAATTAAAGTTTACATATTCAGTTAAGCGTTTCGACTCTAGCTAGAGTCATATTCAATGAAGTGGCCTATTTCGATCCACAACTGGGTATATATATATTTCCTAGCGTAGAGTTTTCGATCTATGTTCTGACGTTTTAAACTCTGAAGAGTGTCAGACGAAAAGCTTTAGCTTACTAAATGTTTGCTTTTTTCAAAGCCATTTTCAAGTTTTGTACCACCAAAAGATTGTTTGTATATAAACAATTTTACTTTTAAGAAACAATTTTGCTAAAAAGAAATTAAATTTTATTTTTGCTGTAAACTAACTAAATCTCTGCAAAATAGGCTTATTTTTATATTTATGTATATGATTAACTTTCTGCATGGACAATTAAACAGTGTTTCAGCAGATTTTTCCTTATTTAATGAATTTTTAAATGAATTTCAATGAACATGAAATGAACAAGGGCAGATTTTGTAACAATAGGTTCTTTGGTTTGTTACAAAATCTTTGGTTTTAACCTATTGTTACAAAATCTGCCCTTGCTCATGAAATGCTGTTTTAATTTTTTGATTATTTCTATCCAAAATGTGCTTCCTATTCAAATTGAATACCGACCTGGCTTTGCAATTTGTTCATTATATATTCTAAGTTGAAGAAAGACTGTCAGAATTGCATTTCCTCTTGCCCCGAGATGATGAAATATCTACACATGAAATATTCAAAATTGTATTCTGATCTGATTTACTTTTGCTACAGTGAGCTGGATCAGTTTGAAAAAAGAAAAGAAGAATTAAAATCGTCAAAAAAAATTCTTGATGGAAAAGTTGTTGCTAAAAAAGTAAGCAATGTTACTGTTGGTACCTTTTTCTTTAATATCTGCCTACTTTATTCTTATTCTTTTCTCATTGTATTAAACATTATATAATTGTATATTTTTTGCCTTGGAAATAAATCAAAAGCTTCGTCTTGTATACTGTGACCATATAACATTTTGTAACTCACAACATAACGCATTCTAAGTTATTAATTTTTGCATACTGTCATTTTTTCTAAATTTCTTAGTATTTATAACTGTTAAGAAATTTGAAAAAACTTGAATAAGTCCACTCGATTGAATACAGTTTTTTTTCTATTTCTTCCCAATTTGCTCTCCGCCTTCTTCCACCAAGACCGTTGAGAAAAAGAGAAAATATCATTTCATTCTCTTGAAAAATATTGACAGATATTCAACTTGGCACTTTATTTGGTCCCCCATTATGCAAGGGATGGACAGGCGTCAGTTTCCCAGGGATGAGGCTCGTATGGTATGGTTAATAGACCTGAAAATGAAGGGCCCCTGAATGCCAGCGGAAGATGGCCCGTGAAGTACTTGTATCCCAGCATCCATTGCAAGTGCTTTGTGCTTTTGAATTTGCCAAAATCGTTTTATCTAGCAGCTTCACAATCTCTCTACATAAAAATAAAAACTGCTATTGTTTAGACATAGGGAGTTCGCTTCCTCCCTTAGGCTGCATCGGTTAAGTTTCCTATAGGCCAGCGGCACTGGTGGGGTGACCTGTATACTCATGTGTTTGCGTTTTGAATTGGCCTATTCCAATCCACAACTGGGTATGCATGATATTTAGCGGTTTCGGTCTATATTCTGACTTTTTATATACTGAAGTATGTCAAATGAATAGCTTTTGTACGTTTCAAATTTTTTAAAAGACAGTCATATAATCCTTGCATAAAAGCATATAATGGTATTTTTCTCGTAGGTTGAAGAAGCTGAAAGAGACAATGATCTTTCGAAGCTATATGATTACACACAGAGGTATGTCTCTTTGGTTCTAGTACTTGATGTAGCCGTCTCCTGAATATAAATAGACAATATCGCCATAGATTACCTTGGTTGGTAATTATTAACCTTTCTCTACCTAGTTTGGTTCTAAATATTCCAAAGATATAATAATAAGAGTGGCTCATTGGAAGATTTTCCCACAAATTTGGTCTAATTTTTATCAATTTTTTCCAAGTGACCGTAACGACGCTCACGATTCAATGAATAACTACAGAGCTATAAATTTTTCATTTTGCTTTTAGGTTTTTACCTTGGTCTTTATTAAGCTATTCTACGGACCAGATTATCGTCAAGTTTTTTAATTTCAAGCTGACAGTAAGCTTTGAAAACACAGGAAAAACTCTAGGTAAGTATTTTCGCTACCTTTTGCCTTAACGGAATGGCTATATTTTCAAATTGAAGATAAAAAAACTGTCGAAATAACACCAGCTTTAAAGAGTTTTGATTTTAAGTTTGTTTTGGGTAGATTTGTTCCTTTTTTTGAAGAAATTTGAGTTATTAAGAGACAATCACTTAAAAAACAAATCCTCAAGAACATTGCATATCGTCTTTTCACTTTGGGAATTATTTTTAGTTTATCAATGTTTAACCTCCAATCGGCCGGGGAAATCCTTTTTATAATGTAGTTGTTTGATAATTATCTTGTTGTCTTTTATTCGCGCAAGCTAAATCGCTAAATGTTTATTCATGATTCATTTTTTCGGAGCACCGTCTGTTTTTAGGGGCATTTTTCATATTTTAGCTGGTTCCTCCATATTTCAAGTGCGCAATCGGAATTTTTCGGTCCCTAAATCTATATGGAAATATATTTTTTGATACCAAATTTCAAGTTTAACATAATTATCTAATATTAACATTGATATAGCTTCGCAAACAGTTTTGCTTTGAATAAAACAAACATTAAATTGCTTTGAATAAAGGGAACATTTGAATCATATTTACGTTTTTCATCTGACACTCTTAAGAGTTTAGAAAGCCACAATAATGATCGAATACGCGAAGCTAGGAAATATATATACCAAATTATTTTATATACCCATTTTCTTACTTTGTTTATCTTCTTTGCAATCTTAGTGGACTCACTCTCTTCAGATGCGAAAATTACAAAAATCAGTTTTGAGAAAAATAAAGAAGGTAAGCTGATGCCATTGGAATACTTTCTCTTTCCTTTACATAATGATTAATGTTCTTCTCAACTTTAATCAGTAGTTCTAACTGTTTTCAAAACTCTTTAAATCCTCATTTCTATTTGTAATCACTGCATCGGAATCTTCATGTTGTCTAAGTTATTTCATGTATTTCACTGAAAAATTTCCGATTCTCCTTGATGTATGTCTATCATCTTTGCAACCAATAAACGCGTGGGAGGAATTACGCCTAGTGACAGGCTGATCGTTGATTGGCAGACGGCTTTGACCAGTTTAGTATTTATGTCGATTGCCTTTAAAGGCAATCTGTCTCGTTGTGGATTGGTTAACGAAAACAATAGCTGGAACAATAGCCTAAACACCATTCCAGCGCTCCGCCATATTTTTTACAATGCAATAAATTAAAGGGGGGCTGGAAACAATAAAAAATCCCTTTGTTCTTATAATCAATCAACGTCGTGACAGATTACCTTTAATGTAAACTGTACACATAAACTGAAAGCAAGAAGACTTTTCTAGACAAAACACCTAGGAAACTGTTACTGCAAATGCCACACTTGTTTTGCTTTTTGGTGAAAGAAATTGAATTTTGTTAGTGATACCACTTAAGCTATTTTTATAATGTGTTTATGTTTTTTACTACTTCTCAACTAATCTTTCGGTGTTCTTATAATTATTCACGTTATCTCAACCAATATGCAACTTAAGATATGTAGCAAATAAAGAACACCGCAACGTGCCAAGAACAAACAACGATAAACAAACGTAAAACGTCTATAGCTCAATCAATTTAATGATATATTGCGTCTCGACTGTGTAAGCGATAAATTCTCTATCTCTGATACGCTGACAAGACTAAATTTGCTAAGCATTGAACTACCGTCTACAGTTGAGTTATGTTTTTCTTCAAGGTCATTCCAACGACTGGGGGAACTTTGTTTCAAAGCGACTTCTCCGTCAGATTAATACGGATTTATTAAAGACAACGTATCCAACCATACGACAAATACCCAAGGTAGAACTACACAAGTGTTCCAATTTTCAATTTATGATTGAGCTTTTTTTATCTTGTATGCAAGCATGGATATAGAATTTGAGTTTTGTCATCAAGATTATTCGACAATTTCAAAATCTAACTACAATTAGTGGGAACCGTCATCTTTTTTGTAGACAGGAATCTTATCAAGGCAAGGGGCTATGAAAAAACAGGGAAACATTTTTTTGAAAATTTGACGGCGCATATGCCACTAGATCTGGTAAAATTGATCTGCGTCAAAAATTTCGATTATAAATTGACATATCGAAGAAAAAATGCATTTCCCAAGCACGCTAATTATTGGAATTTTGAAGTTTCACGAAACACCAAACGTGATGTTGTCTTTTTCTTTTCTAGCTGTTGGACACAGTGACTGAAATAGTTTTGGCTCACGAAAAGCTATACAAGGACCTATTCTCCGTCTGGGCAAATAACAACTTGTCGATTGAAGATGATGACAGGTTCGTTGATCAACATGTATATGCTTCTGTGTTTTCTTAGCTAATTCAAATTTCGGGAATATTAAAAAAACAAACACAGTAATGCTTCTGGGGGAATGATACGTACTTAATGATTGATACCCCGCGTCACGTATTCATAAGCAAAACATAATTTTTTCTAAAATTGTGTTGGTCAAGATTTTAGTATTCATTAAAAATATAGCATCTATATCCTTTCATTTGTAGTGTTTTAATTTCAAAATTCATCAGTCCGCCGCAAGCTCTATCTACAGAATTTCTGGTGAAGTGCAATATAGACGAGAACAGTACATTTCCCAAGATGCAACTTGAGGTTGACCATGTATTCGGAAAAGACAGGTAAGAAATAGACATTCTTAGTTTGGTCTTTGCCATTTTCGGTATTTGCCACTAGCAGAAAGAGTGAGGGAACCAGGTAGATCTTGTAAATGCAGAACTATGCTTCAGTCGAATTTAGCTGATATTTCATATTGAGTTTCCAAACTTGAATTAATATTGCGATTTGATCAAATAAATGAAGAAATTGGAAGTCTTAAAGTTGTAATGTTTAAAAACATTGCATCCAAACAAGAATTGAAAATTGCATGTATTGAAAATACTAGAGACATTGAAAAGTTTGTTTGCAGTTAATACGAAAACTCATCGTTCGAAAGTGGTGTCTTTTCGGTAAGAGTATCTTTGCATTGGTATTTTCTGCAAAGTGGGTCTGGATCTGTCCTTAACTCATCGCTGAAAATTCATCCATCAACTTAATTATCAATGTTTTTGCAAACTCTCCTAGTAATCGAGTACATAAATATGTTTTTATTGTTTGAATCAACTCTTTAATTTTGCGTTTCTAAGACTGCTTATTTTTTGGACAGAACTGAGATGTTTCAAGATGCGGTTAATGACACAAAGCCCGGTTCAATGCTATTTTCAAGAACAATTAAACAAATAAAAGGCATTATATTAGATGCCCACAGACAGTATATAAATGGCCAAAGTTAAGCAGAAATTTGCATCATTGTAAGTTTAGGCCTGTTTTCAAAATGAATTCTGCTGCTGAAGAACCCCTACAAAGAAGAACTTGTGGATTCAAAAAACTACAGGCTGCCTTATTTATAATGCATTCTTTTGCCTAGGAAGCTACTTTAGACTGACAAATTACAAAGTTTTTTAAGGGCATTGAACCTGAGTCATCTGTTTTCGCGAGGATATACCCCCTACTGACAGGCACAACCGACTAAAGTAATATTCAAAATATACCTTAATAAGAACCTAATACAAGAAACCTTTGACTCAGCGATTCAAGAATGTCCTTTTGAAGTAAGACTCAATGACTGGCTGACTATATCAAAAACGGATCGTTCTCTACTGTACTGTCATCAACGACCAGGGACTTTCAAAATCATAGCATCCTAGTTTCTAAAAATTTGTAAACTAGGCCGTTTTTATAATTTTCATGAAGAGAACTGACTTAGAAATGTTATATCTTGCAAATAATTCCTTTACAGTAGAGCAAAAAGGACCCTGTGAGTTCCCAAATAAGATCGTTATGCTCGTTGACTCTTAATCTACTATAAAAGTATATTTTTCTTGTAAACAGGTTACCATAACTGAATTAGAATATTCTGGTCGCTCTTCTCTGCTTTTAATCGATTTCATTCAAGGATTTCGAGAAGCTTACTTTATAATATTGACTGTTTTTACGTGTAATTTCTCAAGACAAGGTTGATAATATTACTTGTACATAAAAACTTATTGACTCATCTTTCTACAATAAATCTGTGATTTGTTCAATCGAGTTTCCTTTCATTACCTGTAGCTTCAGAACGTCTCATTTTCTTCACAATATTGCATTTTCGCTTATGTAGTATATTGTTTTGAACAATCAAAATATCTTGATGTACATAAAGTTTTTCTTTCATAAAGATCATTTTGCCACAAGGATCTTCTCTTTCTTCTTTACTCTCTAAATGCATTCGCCATGGCTTCAATCAGGGGCGGACACTTGGTCAAATCTGGGGGGCAAACCAACGCAGGTTGCCGAAAATCGCGATTTTTTCTGATAGTAAATTCAGATGAAATCGAAGTACTGTTACTTTTGCAAATTTTTTATAATGCTTTCAAAAATGCAGACGATTTATTGCCAATTAAGTTTTGCACATTTCTCGCTGAGGGAAAACATCATGCAAAAAGTGTTTTCTGCTTATCGGGGGGAAACTGGTGAAGAATTTTTGTGGGAGGTATCCTTACGAAGAGATGAGATGCAAAAACGACATTTGATTCGACAATTTTGCCAATCAAATACTTACTTAATTTCTTATCTCCAAACAAAGACGATCAATAGCTACGAAGAAGTAGAGAGTTCTTTAATTTAATCATACACGAAAATGATACTGGTAACTAACTTGTCCAATCCACTGGTCCAATCATATGAAGAGGGTGTCCTACATAACAGAGGCATTAGGCTAGTAACGCCGATTTACTATCCCCCCTTTCCAAAAATCTTCTCACAAAGTACAAATTACAAAACTGATGCAATGCTATCTCATTAAGTTTCAACTTTGGGTGTATCTCAAGGTTTTTAAAATTAGTTGTTTGCTGTGCACAATATCAGCCTTTTCAATTTCGCTTCATTTTCGAATATTCAAGATTGATAGCCCTTCACCAATGTTGATTTTCAGGGGGTCCTCCATGGGAATAAATTCAAAATTAGCAAACTGGTAAAAAGAAGTAAGAAATAGTAATTGCAATTGGAAGCTTAAAAATTGATTGGCTAATTACAGCCTAAAGTCAGTTCGTGCCAATTTTGTTGCAATTTTTTATGTTGGTGCATATTGCTGCAAAATTTTTGGCCAAGGCATTTATTGTGGTTGCCTGTTTTGTTTCTGCTGGTAGGGCATTCCATGCTTTTCAACCTCTAAACGAAAGCGTGTTCTGCGAGCACATGTACGTGAAATAGTTTATTTTTAGTTAAAGTGGAGTGGATATGCGAAACTCGCCTTTCTGTAAGTTGGTGTCTGGGATCCCTGTCAGCACAACATACGCATGCGTACTTTGTAAATATTAACTTGCATGTGGATAAGTGGATTGCATTCGATTCATCTTCAAAATGGCCACGAAACTGTATGTAGCTAATTTACCGCCGAATTGCACCGAATCTACCTTACATGGTCTGTTTTCAGCATTTGGATTAGTTACAGAACTTGACATCATAAAAAATTATGCCTTTGTGCACATGGCAGCAAGCGAAGGAGCGCAGAAGGCGGTGGCAGAGTATAACAACATGAACTTGAATGGGAACGTCATCACTGTGCAGTTTTCGAAAATTCAAAATGTGAACCGAGGAAATAAATTTACTGTGAAGTATGATCGACCAGATCGCCTTGGCAGGGGTGTAGGTGGTAACTTTAATCGAGGGGGATTTCGCGGGGGAGGCAGAGGTGGGATGCCTGGAGACATTGGACATGGACCAGATTTTAGGGGTCGTGGGGGATTTCGTGGAGGCAGAGGTGGTGGTGATCATCTTCATAGAGGGAAGCCATATGACAGGAATCCAGGCCTTAGTCATGGTCAGATGGGTATGGGTAGTAACAGTAACAATTTGCAGCCCATTCGCCCTGTAGGATCAGATGTAGGAGTGGCACAAAATTCAAATCCTCCAGCAAAATTTATTCCACCACAGCAGCAAATACCAACACAACAACTACAGCGAGTGCCTGTGCTGCCAACAATGCAGCAGACAATGCATGTTCAGCACATGCATCATGTGCCAGTGGCAGCAGTTTCCCCACAAGTGCCACAGAATCATGTTGCAAATACCAACCAGCAAATGCTGCACCATGCCGGGTTCCAGCCAGTACAGACCTTTGGTGAAATGCAGCCTCATGCACAAGCAATGGCTCCTCAAATGCATGGAGCAATGCAACAGCAACTTGTGACAGCAGTTGGCCAGCCAGTTTCAAATGTCCAGCCAGTTATGCATAGCAATGTGCAGCCTGCTGGAATTGCTCCCCAACAGGGTTATACTGTTTATGAGAGGTATGTTGACTACAGGAATCCCCAGACTGGTGAAATCACTGGTGTAGTATCAAGTCATCAAGTGCCACACGCAGGCCAGCCAGTGGGACAAATTTACCAAACTGCTGCACAATCAGTTAACAAAGACCCTTACGCCAATGCACAAATGATGTATGAAAGGTGAGAGCAAATTTATCGTGTTTATCTAGAAAGGCTCATTATACCCTGCGTGATGCCATATGTAACAGCAATATTCATTGATGTCAAACACCATGAAATTCCAAAATGAAATTTGACCATTTTGTCTTTTCAAAATCTTTCAATCTTGCAACCCCTGCCAGAATTTCTATATTTCTATGAATAGAATCTTACAGGTCTATCACACATTCAGTTTGATATTCATCATAGCTAAATTTATTTAAATAAGTTCATTTAGATATGTTCTGATGATTTTCTTAAATTCAGATATTAGAATTAGGTTTTTAGATCTCCTCTGTATGAAAATTCAAAATGGCAGATTCTGGTAATTTTTCCTCAAAAATCTTGAAAATTCATATATCGATATCTATAAAAGTGAAATAATTGGTCTGAAATTATCTATTCTAATCAGTTGGCACAAAATGTATGAAATTTGGCAAAATCTGAGATGGTGACATGGCCTTTGTGAATTGACATTCCATTTCCACCTTGATTTTGTTTCAAGATGGTTGAGATTTGATCACTCTAAAAAGGCCTTTTGACTATCAAATCACTTTAATTTGTCTTAGGTTCATGATTTTACAATGAACCAAGTCAAAATAGCAGTTATTCATTAGCACCCATATTACACCCAGTTTTGAACATATTCAACTAATTTTTCACATTAGTATTTGATTGTTTCCTAAATCTTTTATTTTTCAAACTCTATTTTGTTTCTTGTGCCTAACAAATGTAAAATCCATCATCCATTGCTGGATAAACAAGTTTGTTTTACAGACAAGCTGGTGCCACTTCAAGAGCTGCTGTGTATGCAAATGCCTATTACGGTAGCAGTCCGGCTACAACAATGGTTTCTGGTGCAAATGCAGTACATCAGATGCAGGTTGTAGCCCCTGGCAACATTATGCAACCAGTTCAGCTACATTATCAGTGATGCTATTATTGCTTGGGGATTTTCTCCTATCTGAAATCTTGCATCTAAAAATAAGGACAAAGGTAATTTTTCACTTTTTACTCTGAAAAATATGCTTTGGATACCATGACATCTTTTCTTCTAAGCTTTAATAGTCACCCTTGATTATATATAGAATTATCGGTAGTTCAAAAAAATGAAACTATTCAGACATTTTGTAACTACTTAGTCAACAACCTGTAGTTGCATTTCTTTTTGTAAAAATATCTTCTTATTTACTAGCCTTTAACTATTTATCCATTGCTAGAACATTTCAAGTACAAATTCAGGACCTTATCAGTATGCCCCTAGCCAAAATCAGTGCAACAAGGCATACACATACTGTAACTAATTAATGTAGCAGCACTGAACTGACAGGTGAAATATTCGATATTATGTTATACTCAAGATTTTGCACTACATGTTGTGTTAATTTTCCAAAAGAAATTTCACATTGTAAAATTACTAATTCCTTGGTTGCTATTGTGATTTATGGCTCCAGAGCTTTCTGTTCCTTCAAGTAGTAAGTTGGGCCCCTCCCTCTGGTTTGAGGGACTCTTTAGTTTCATTTGCCTGCATAGAAATACTAAGCTTTTCTGTAGGATTGCCATTTTTGTGGAGGTCTTCTCGTAGAAGCTTCATAAAAGTTGCAATCGGTACTCGTTTAACACGCCTGATGCTGGACTGGACAGATTGTAGAAACAAAATGCTGCAGACTTTAAGCATGCTATATAATTGTTTATGTAGATAAATATCATAGAGATGCTCGTTATGAATTTTGTTTATCTCTTACTATATCTCATTAGAATGATTACTTAGTATTTACGTATTTATCGTCTAATTTTTATTTGTGATATCAGGAATTTTAAATACTTTTTTCTCTGCATACCGTTCGTCTAGTTAATTGAACTTGATGCCATGGGTCATTGTTGAATCTGTCACAAACGTAATATAGGTTTGGATTTTACAAACCTTATCAGCCTTTACTCGGAAAGGTGCATTTGTTACATACATTTTGCGCCGAATTTACCATTTATAGGAATCTTGACCAATAATAACATTATCTTGCATGTACTCTGTTTGACCCTCTAAGACTGAATTATCACGTCACATTGAATAGAAATACATATATATACTGTCTGTCCATGCGTTATGCTTCCTTAGAGAGCTATCATCAGGCTGAAGAATATAAAATATAGGTAGGCATAAATCACTATCGTTTTAAGATATTTCCAATGGTATCCCTATTTGAATCAACTATCATTGGAGCAGCTCTTGCTGGAGCAGCTCTTGCTGGACCAGCTTTTTGTTAGTTAAGTCTGCACTTAGGCTAGCTTTTTGTTGGAGCAGCCCTTTCTGGACCAGCTTTTTATTGAACCAGCTCTTGCTGGACCAGATTTTTTGGACCACCTCTTGCTGGACCACCTCTTGTTGGACCAGATTTGTTTGACCAGCTTTCGTTGGACCAGACTTGTTGGACCAGCTCTCTCTGGGCTCATCAGCATCCAACTTCGAAATCGTAACATGTATGCTCGTTACATTTTCAAGTTAATCTAAATATTTGTTTTTCTTGTTGTATTTTAGAGTAAGTAAGGATTGGTATTAACTGCAATTCATGCGATAGTATGATTTACATTTATCTTAAATTGTGTCTCGTTATTCAAAAGGCGACGATTAATTTAATTTTTATTTGATCACCGACTCACTTCTTGTACTCGTAACTATATTATAAATACAATTAAGAAGATTTCAGTTAAGACATTTCAGTACCGTTAGTCAAATTTACCGTTTTTCAATTATTCTATTGGTCTGAAGTTACCGTTGGTCGAAATCTACCGTTGGTCGAAATCTACCGTTGGTCGAAATCCACTGTTTGTCAAATTTTTTTTTGGTCTAAAGTTACCCTTTATCATAGTCTAACGTTTGTCAAAATATTCCGTTGGTTTAAAGTTACCGTTGATCAAAATCTACCGTTGGTCATAATTTTCCGTTGTTCAAAATATATCCGTTGGTCTAAAGTTACCGTTGATCAAAATCTACCGTTGGTCATAATTTTCCGTTGGTCAAAATATATCCGTTGGTCTAAAGTTACCGTTGATCAAAATCTACCGTTGGTCATAAATTTCCGTTCGCAAAATATTCCGTTGGTTTAAAGTTACCGTTGATCAAAATCTACCGTTGGTCATGATTTTCCGTTGGTCAAAATATATCCGTTGGTCTAAAGTTACCGTTGATCAAAATTTACCGTTGGTCATAAATTTCCGTTCGGAAAATATTCCGTTGGTTTAAAGTTACCGTTGATCAAAACCTACCGTTGGTCAAAATATGTCCGTTGGTCTAAAGTTACCGTTGATCAAAATCTACCGTTGGTCAAAATCTACCGTTGGTTTAAAGTTACCGTTGATCAAAATATACCGTTAGTCATAATTTTCCGTTGGTCAAAATATTCCGTTGGTCTAAAGTTACCGCTGATAAAAATCTACCGTTGGTCATAAATTTCCGTTGGTTGAAATATTCCGTTGGTTAAAATTTACCGTTGGTCTAAAGTTACCATTGATCAAATTCTACCGTTGGTCATAATTTTCTATTGGTCATTCTATTGGTCAAAATATGTCCGTTGGTCTAAAGTTACCGCTGATCAAGTCTACCGTTAGTCATTATTTTCTGTTGATCAAAATATTTCTTTGGTCTAAAGATACCTTTCTTCAAATCAACCGTTTGTCTATATTTTCCGTTGGTTAAAATTTACTGTCTGTCAACATGTACCGTTTGTCAAAATTAACCGTTACACTGCCGCTTATTTGCGGACACTGCCTCAGATAGTCTCGTGTACTGCCTATTAAACTTCCCATGTACTCCTTTTTATTCGGTTTCCCGTGTACCATTTCAAAGGTTCAAGACAAATTGTGGTCTGGACAGCGTTAAATTGTTATGTATGTAAAAAATGTTTATGCTTACGCCTCATCCAGTAGCCTCAACACATCTGCAGCAGCCTACGTTTTTGTATTTTTGCTTTTATCGAGCTGTTAAGAATTTCAATATGAGAAGGACACTTGATGAAAATGGATGTGACCCCTCCCCCAAGATGTAAAACCCATGTACAAAATATTCTGAAAACCCTCGTTCTAAAGTAAGAAATGTAGAAAAATATGTTTTCCGCGTTTTCACAGTTCTTCCTACGTTGATCCTTGCTTCGCCATTCTTTGTAACAAGTTATTTAAGCCTCACTTTATTAACGCAATCTTTTTGATGCATTGTTTTCAAGACGCTTCCGTATTACTCAATATGTTGATTGAATGATTGATTCATCGGCGATTAGATCACCATTTCGTGAATTTGTGGTGTTGCAACGATTTTAAAATGTAACCACTTTATGGCGTCTGCAACGCTAACGTGATATTGTCCTTCGCAACATTCTCTGCAACGCAAACTTAATCGCGGTTGTGACACCGGCAACGTACTCGCCGCCGTAACCCTCGCAGTGAAGGCCGCTGGATCGCTTTCGCAATCTTGTACGATTTCCTACTGCTCTGTGCCCCGTATTAGGTAAGTGGTTGTTTTTTTCTTCAATTCGCTTAATTTTATCTTTTACTTCGAGTTCTAGAAAATACCATGTAATCTAACTACGATAATCGTCGTCAAATAAAAGATTAACAAATCACGTGCTATGCTTCTGTTTTGCATGTTTTTGGAGCTTCGATTTTACAGCTATAACGCAGTTCCTTTTATGCTCGAAAAACGTCTCTGTAAACAAGTAAGAATTGTTCCATCCTGATTTATGGCTGTGTCCCCGTTGTTTTTTATGCAATAACCCCGATATGCGTTTAAACTTGTTGGGGAACATCAATTTTTAACACCCTCCCTCCCCCTTGCAACGTAATCGTTTTCTTATTCGTGCAGCACAAGCTTTCCACAATTCCTCCCCTTCCCCCTCCCCTTTCACTGCCCCTAAAAATATGCTGTAAAGCTCTGTGTGTAAAACTCTAAAAATATGTGTTGTCAAACGTCTCTTGGTTGTCGTTATTTTTATTCGATTCAGATCTTTCCACGATAAGAGTAAGCAAGATATAATAAGTTCCAATTTCAATTGGAAAGGTTAAACCTTTGGTGGTAGTTTTCGCCGTTTCAAAAGACATTTTCAATATCAAACCTCAGTCAAATTTGGATATATGCCTTATTTCTGATCTATTTTCGATTATGCTTATTTACGTTGTTGCGATGTGCAAAATCATTGCGAACCCTTTCATCTCTGTATGCAATTTGGTTTTTGCTTCGATGAACACTCGTTTAGATATGGCCATCTAATAACCACGGAGTAAGTTTTCATTCTTGCCATTCTCTTTGGCTTTTGCGTAGCTATTGGCTTCGATACCATATTGTTTAGATGAACCTTTGTTACTTTTTGTTTTGTTACAAAATTGAAATAAAGAGTAACGATACGGCAATTCGGTTTTAAGATTTTGCTAATATCTTTCATCCTTATTAAAGCCCTATCTTAAAAAGTCGTGATGGCCCTCTGCTCAAAATGATGGCCCTCTGCCCTTGTTTACGCCGCGGATTATACTAGATCCAAAACGTCATTTTTACACCCCGTGCACACTAGAGCGGATCCCTTTGGGTCCGTTCCCAAACTGACACGGATAAGCCTTCCGTGCACACGAGAACACTTCTATCCGATCTATTCTGGGTCTGCTATCCGTACCAGACTGGTACGGATAAAAAGAGCGTGCTCGTTTGGGTCCGATCCACTTAGCTCACGTTTGAGCACTTGGATCGGGCCCAAACTGGTACGGATGGAAAACGAGGCTATTTTTCTGGGAAATTCTTCCGAATTTTCTTCATGTGGATAGGCCTTAATAAATCGTTCTGTAATGTTCTCATATTTTAATCGAACTGTCTCCCAGTCCAGCGCATCAGCGAGCTTTTTGCTTTTATAATCGAGAACAATTCTCAACAACAACGCTGTTTCGTCGTCTGTCCAAATAGAATTCTCGTTTTGCTGCCTGTTGTTTCAGTTTGTTGCGAAGCCATGACCTTGTGAAAACTTTCTCTTGCAGTGAATAAATAAATGGCGCCAAAAATTTGCGTTCTTTGTGTAAATTCTGTTTTGTGCGCATGCCCTTGACCGTGGATCCGCTTGGATCCGGTCCCGTGTGCACGCAAAATATTTTGGGCACGTTTCCGTGTCTACGCAAACAATGTTCTGGATCGGATCCAGTTTCGGAACGGACCCAAACGGAACGGCTCTCGTGCGCACGGGGTCTTAATTTCATTCTCAGTCGTTGAGGAATGATTCATTTCAGCAAGCTGCTTTCCTTTTGTTCTTTAAATTTTTTTTCATCTCATTTGGTGGATTGGCGAGTCGTTTGTTCTTAATATAGACTTTCTAGGCTTGTTTTTAAAGCAAAAAACTACCTCTAGAGCAAAATAGGATAAGCTGATATTTAAAATGAAGCTTTGAAATAGATTGGTTTTATGTCCAATTGAGTTGGTAATTCGGCTTGAAATTATATTTGAATCTTCTGCAATGTTTGATTTTTTTGAAATTGGTTTTATGGTGTCATATATGTTGCTAATGATGAGTTTTCTCTTGTATTTTTCCTGTAGAATATTTCTTTGGATTGTCGCTAAGAAGAAGACGAATTGTTTCTAACAAAAGTACATAGTATGCAGCCAAGGTATGTCCTTTCCTGTCCTTTAAGCTTTTTGGCGCTTCTGGACCAAGCAAATCAATCTAAAATCTCTGCTTATTTTGTTACAAGCGCCTTGATTTTTG